AATAAAAGAATTCACTGCAGATTCCACACCTGAAGGGCTGATCCGGCGCTGCAGCGTGCCCTCCTGAGCCAGCCAGCATGGTGGCAAGCACGGGAGTGGTGAAAAGTAGCGGGATCAGGACAACCTGGCAATCTGTTCTCAACAGACCTCAAAGTTTAGAGTGGCCAATCCAGCAGAAACACACCTGGAAGGCAGCTCTGGAGCTAAGCCCTGAATTAGACCAAACGCTGATGCTCTGGGATGAATTGCTAACATTTTCGCCACATTTTCCACCAGCCTCAGCGGGCTCGCCATCAGGCTCATAAACAGCAGTTATGAGCGGGTTTTGGGAGGGCACCCAACATAGAAGGTGCTAAAAAACCTGCTAGCAACACTGCCTCACCTAGCCCTGGGAGACAAGGGCAGAGGCGTGTCCCAGAAGCGTGAGGCTATGGCATTTACCATCTTCCTAAGCAAGTAACTTCAGCCTGAAGCTGGAAACTTTTAGCTGGATTCTGTTTAGAATAAGGAATTCTGAGTGGAGGTAATCACGACGTTGAAATTAGCAGTCAATGCTCATCCTAGGACGGTGGGGGTTGTTGTTCCTGGAATATAAGCTAAGCGGCACAGCAGTCTGTCTGCATTGCAGGCTGGGTGAGAGGGAGGTGCAGCAGCCGGAGCGATGCAGCGTACAGCAGTGAGAATGTTGAGCTCAGAGAGTCATACGGGACAGGGGCATCAAATTCAGGGTCAGGAACTTGGAAGCAAGAAGCTGTCAGGTAGGAAAAATTAATGTGAGAGATCTCCAACCCCCGGCTAGAGAACACATCTCCCCCATCTGAGCGAGACCTGCGCAGAGCGCTAAGTCCAACAGACCCACGCCGGTCTGCATTAGCTCTGTCGGCATCTGAACCACGCGCGCAGCAGCAAGCCCGACGCAGGTCGCTGCACGGGTGGTGAGAGGGCTTTGCAGAGGAAGGGGCTGGGAGGAAGAGGAGTGAACAGGCACAGTGAGAAAACAGCAAAGTTTTCATAAATATTAACTGAGCTGTGCGGGGTGTCACGATAACAGAATCACAGAATGGTAGGGGTTGGAAGGGACCTCTGTGGGTCATCTAGTCCAACCCTCCTGCCTCCTCCTTTTTGAAAATGTTCTTGAACTAATTTGTAGTACCTGGACAAAGCTACAGCCACAAGTTATTCAGGTTTGAAACTTATTGAAAGTGATTCTGTAGCAAGCGTTTCTGTGAAGAACTCCAAGGTGAGGGTAAGAAACCTGTTCCAGTATGAAGAGATGTACTTCTCCTCACCTCTGGTTTCCCCGAAACCCTAAACTTAGAAACTTTAAAGAAAAAAAAACATTGAACAATCATTTGTATTTCCCATTCTGCTGAGCCTCAGTAGCGAGGTGCTCCCAGCACATCCTCCCGCCTCAGCGCCAACAGATGGTGTGCTGAGCGTCCTGGAAGGACCCGGAAAAACCCCAGCCATTTAATTTGTGCCTCTTTTAGACTTCTCCCCTCACATGCCACAAACAGCCACCGCCGCTGGGTGGGATTAACGCGCTTGGCCATTAAACCATAGGCTCGAGCACATCAGTTTTATTTTGTTATAAACAACTTCTTCATACTGAACTCAGTCCTCCCGAGTTCTTACATTTTCTTGGACTATGAATTTTATGACCACAGAGGAGCACTGAGTCTTTGCTTTACACACCATTAATCTCCTCCAAGCCTTGCAGAGGACTCGTCCCGGCCACAGCCCAGCGGGGAGGCTGGTGTCTGTGTTAGTCAGGAGTTGGGACCCTCAGAATCACAGAATGGTAGGGGTTGGAAGGGACCTCTGTGGGTCACCCAGCCCAACCCTCCTGCGGAAGCAGGGTCACCTACAGCAGGCTGTAGAGGACCTTGTCCAGGCGGGTCTTGAATATCTCCAGAGAAGGAGACTCCACAACCTCCCTGGGCAGCCTGGGCCAGGGCTCTGTCACCCTCAGAGGGAAGAAGTTCTTCCTCATCTTCAGACGGAACTTCCTCTGCTTCAGTTTGTGCCCGTTGCCCCTTGTCCTGAACCTCAACACCGAGGCCCAGTCTCAGCTTGCTTCGGGGCTGTTTCAACCCACTCTGCCCCATCTTACTACTCGACGGACAATCTCATGCTCGCACCGACTGCGGGCTGATGCCCCAGGATACAGCTGCAGCCTGGTAGCATTCAGCAGAAAAAAAAAAAAAAAGAAAAAAATTATGGCTCAAAGACCTTGGTGATGCATAGGAAAGCTCCCCGAGGGACAACCCTGAGGGTAAAGAGAACTGGTCAAAACCCGACGAGCTTTCCAGTGGTGACAGTGAGCTCGGGATGATGTGTGTTTGCTCTGCCAAGGTGGCTTCGTCCCCCAGCACCGGGTTTGACCCAAGCCTTCTCTGCTGGCCAGAGCAGAAAGGCAACGCGGCTTCCAGACAGATGCCCGAGAGAGACATTTACTTCTCTCTGACACTGTCCCCGGGCAAATCCCTCCTCCTGCCGAGGGAGATTTCAGCCTTCCCTCTTTAGGCTGCGTGTTCCTCAGAAGTGTCTGGCTCCGCATTCAGCTTCTCGCACGCTGGAGAATCGCCCGTCAGGACAGCGCTCCTGACAGAAATACGGGAGAACAGCCATAACAGCAGAACAATTCATCTCCTACTAAGATGATCATGAGATTAAAACACAGCGAAGAAGGGAAAAGCCACAAATCCCCCCAGAAAAAAAAAAATCTGACAAATATTTTTAGTTCTACAACAAAATAAATATTTAAATTCTGATTTACCAAGAACAGTGAGACTTGGTTTAAAAAACCTGTAGATATAACAGCATACACTGAATGTCACAACACTTGGATTATGTTACTGTCAGTCATGCGTGAAACAGCCCAATTTATTACAAATATTCACACAGTACAAAGCACAGTATAGTGACACACGCTGGGATGTGGGCCCTTCGCCCTGGCTGCGCTTGTCCCATCAGAAGCCAGTGTAAACAGCCAGTCTTCACTGATTGGGTTCAGTGATCTCCATCTGTCACACGCTTTCTTGAAGCTCCAGACATGACTACTGCTGCTGCTTGCTGTGCCTCTCAATAGCTGTGGACTCCCCTCTGCCAGCGGAGCACCCAATTAATGCTTAAAAGTACATTCCCCCCAAAGTGTACTACAAAAAATAATCCATCTGAATTCTGGCATGTATTGTGGAGTGAGAATTAATATACAAACCTTGGTAGCTGCTATATTTTAGACAGTCACATAGGTCCACTTTGAACAACTGCATTCCATTGACTAGAAAGTGTTACTCGTGTAACAGCACTACTCGATTATTCCCTCTACGCTCTCCTTCCTCCTCCAACAGGTATCACTGCAATATGTTCTTCACAAAGGAAAAAATACCATTTAGTTCTCCCTTAAAGACCTGTCTCAAGGTATTTATGATGGAGATGATCGGAACTGTTTCAGCCATGCCTGTTTTACAGCAGATTTTTCCACAGCTCTTGAAAAAAGACGTCTTTGCAAATCACCAACCCGAACAGCAGTGTTACTGGAGCGTGTAGAAGCACAGAATCATAGAAACATCCTACATTGATCAACCTGAACAACAGACCCAGCGACAGATGACATTTTTTCCTGCCTTCTGCTGTCCCCAGCAGTCTGTTTTCGTTGCACAAAGACAGTGTAGTGGATTGAGCATTGCAACACCGTACCAGGGATATCTTCCACTCCCTGCAAACATTCAAGACCAAGTATCCGGACTCCATTTTGGGCCTTGCTACCATCTATTTGTGACACTGTTACACAACCACTTCCTTAGCTACGTTGACTGGATAAAAGGGCCAGGTGTCTGTTGAAAGGGAAAGCTACAGAGATATGTTAAACTAGTGTGGTTTTTTCTTAATCACAAGGGTGTAACCACATCTTGGCTAACACCTTAACCCCAAGAAATGTCAACACCCTTTTACTTTGTTAAAATGAGCTTACAGCCTGGAGCTATATGCAAAGCTGCTTTGGGGGCTCAACCTCACGTGCTTACATTTGCAAACAGATTTGTAGAAATCCAGAACACGTTCCCTGGACGGTCTTTGACAGTACTTTCAACTTCCAAGTAGAGCTCAGGCAGACTCCATATGACCGTGGCCACCTGACGGCAGGAAGCCTTCCCCTGCGTTTTCTCTCATCATTTCACTGCAGTCTGACCCGAGGCCGCTATCCTCACTGTCTTTGCCAGGCTTTTGACCGTGGCCACCTGACGGCAGGAAGCCTTTCCCTGTGTTTTCTCTCATCATTTCACTGCAGTCCAACAAGCACCAATAGGTGTCATATCTGACCCGAGGCTGCTATCCTCACTGTCTTTGCCAGGCTTTCGACAACTAGGGGAACGCATCTGACACGTTTACAAACGATTCTATGGCACCTGAGAGGATGCTGTGACGCAGTCCAAAACCACATGTATATCTTACTAAAACATAAGAACACAAGTAAGGGAGTTCATGCTGAAACTGGTGCCACTGGCCTTACCTTTTCATAAAAACAAAACTGCACAGGCAGCGAGGTATTCAGCTTCATCAATAAGATCAAGGAAATACTTAGATATAAAGAACCACAATTAGAGAGTTCAGACCTTGGAGTCCCATCTTTGAAACAGGCATTGTCTGAGAATTCAACACGCTGCTTGTGAAATATATCCAACTCTGAACACGAGAGAGGGCCTATACCATTTACGATTGTATAAAAAAGCAGTTTTGCTGGCAAATCCTTACCTCCTTCCCCCACAACACATAGAATATGGTCACTATTTTACTTCCCCTCTCAATCCTTCATTTATAAACTCAAACATCCCACAATCAATCCCAAAAGACATGCTGATTACAAATGCTATTGTGAAATAAAGTTATAATGCAACAAACTCCAAATCTCAGTGTATTGTTCAGTGAGCATCTGGTGAAGCACAAATTAAATATTACAGACTTTGTTTCTGAACTACAAAAGTAAATTTTTTTAATGATGAACGAACTGGTGTGGACCTTCAAAAGCAGCAGCTTCTGAAAGCAAGCTGAAGTATCTGTGAAAGGAAAGGCTCTTTGCTTGTCTAAAAAGATGCCAAGTTACAGGAAGCAGTCTTCAAGAGTCAAAGTGAAGGTTTCTTCAGTCAAATTTACACTGCAAGGCTCTAAGTCAGTTCCTTCCCTCTGCGCTGCTGCAGAGGATGTTACGCGCCCATGAGCATGCCCATGAAATCTGATCCGTTCTGAATGGTGACGGGAGCTCCAGCACTGTTGTCCACAAATATGGAGGTGTACTGGCCAGCCTGCAGAGAGGGCAAGAGGGAAAATACCTGATACTTCATCCCGGTGTGAAAGGGGGGGAAAAAAGTGTTTCGCTGCCATGAACTAAGCACAAAAGCTTCCCGCCCTCCTCTGTGGCTCCTGGGAACAGGATCTGACCAAACATTTTTACTGCAGCACTACAGCTTTGATTCCGTGGAAGAAGCTTTCTGTAGTAACATTGTGTTACAGGTTTATAACTTAACTAGATCCTTACTGCATTAGCTTTTTGGGTGACTAGTCAAGTGGCCATCTGTGCTCCAGATTCCCCTCTATGCAACGGGACATACAATTGCTAACTTGACATTGCAAGGTGAGATTTGAGAAACAAAAACATTTACTGTCATTTCTAAAGAGTGGAGCATACTCCTGAGGCTTAAGATCAGAATGTGCAACACAAGTCTGGCTTTTGTTCCTGCTACAGATTCTTTCCAGTCATCCCAGGTAAGGCATTTAACTTCATTAACCTTAGAAAGAAGGTTAATAAAAACTTCCCCACCTCCTGGTGAGATTTCAGCCTTGCCAGTAAACAACTTCACATCCTGCCAAACAAACGAGCACAGCGATTCCCAGTCTGCATGGGCTTACCTGCAGCTGCAGGAAGCCGTGGACATAGACAGTGAAGATTTTGCTGTTACTTTCCAGACCAGTGATGACTTCCAAAGACCTAAACAGCAGCAAAAGAAAAATTAACAGGTTAAACACCCAAGGCAGTCACAACAGTTGTATGTGGAACAACAATAGCCTCATGAGCTCCCTAGAAACAGGACCTGGAGGTTCTAGGGCCTGCCTGTACTAAGCAGGCGGCCTGTTGACTTGATTCTTGCACTGATCCACTGCCTGGGAAAGAGAACAGTAGAACCTTGTCCCCACTGCAGTGATTAACGGAGGACCGACAGAGCATACAGCTTGGTGGATGCAAAACTCAGCTGGAGCCAGGAACTGGGAGCCACCTTTTCTCACAGTGGCCTTCCTCAGAGTCCTGTGGTCCCTATCCCCCACCCTTGAACAGGTGCTAAACATGCCTTTTAGATTTATCTACATACCAGTTATCCCAGTCTGTTGACCACAACAATAGTTTATACTCTTGTTACTCTGCAAAGAGCTAGTTATACACATTCTGCCAACAACAGTTTGTTCATTTCTAAGGTACGAAAGGCTCACTTCACCTTAATACATGTAGTCCACCTATGCAAGAAAGAACACATTCTGCAGCTGAAAGCTGTTTTGGGAGGACATTTGGATGAGGCATCACATACAAGCAATAAAAAAAATTGTGCTCGAGTTAAAATTCAAGTAAGTGCTCCACATCACCCCTCAAGCACTATTCTTTTCTAATATCATGTTCTAATAGCCATCATTTTCCTTGCAGTAGCAAGATGCAGGACAGCAGCTCTCTGTGGCATCCTCTGTTTACAGAACTCTAGCTCTGCTCCTCTGTACAGGATTCGGAGTGGAAGGAGGTGCCTGAAACATCAACAATCAGAACAACCCACGTATGCTCAGTTCCAAAGCAATATAAAAGCACAGAGCTCCACGCCTGGCTGGTTCTTCCGAAATCTGCCTAGCCAGCAGTAGCAGATCTAGTTGTTTTCCCAAGAAAAGCAACCCCTTTCCTCGCTTTTTTCCATGAAGTGGTGGTGACGAAACCTAGCAAGTGCAAACGTGCTGTTTCCAGCCCCCTTGCAAGGAAATAATATGCATAAAAGGTAGGGGCAATTTGGCCCAGAGAGAGCAAGTCACTTGGCACCACCTTGATTGAAGAGCTCAGTCTGTGTGTCATATCCTGCCAAAAGCCTAGCTTGGGTGGGAACTTCCCACCATTAATCTCTTCTACTCCAACTGTCTACTTGCCTCCGAGTTTCCATCTCTCTCAGCCGAAAGCCCTCAGGGCTCTTTCAGCTCCCTAAAATGAACGACTGCGTACACTCACATCCCCAGGAAATTCCACAAGCACGGGTAGCAACTCAGCCTGTGCCAGCACAATGTCTGTCCAGACAGGTTCCCATCCCTCCACCCATCTTCCTTCCATGCCACAGACCAGTCATCCTCTCACCCACCATATGAGAGACATGTGTCTCTCAGAGCCACTGCTGATCCTGCTTTACTCCCACCGCTGCCCAGCTCACTCAGCTCAGAACAACCAGTCATAAATTGCAACCCTGGACAACTGATGAAAACTCTGAGTCAGCCATCAGAGAGCTTTATCTAAACGATTAACATCTGGGTCAGTTCTGTCTAAGAAAAAAAGGTTTTACTGTTACTGTTCTTTGGAGAATGTAGCTATAAATTCTTCAGATGGCAAGTTAATCTCAAAACATCCCAATAAACCTGCCTGGGCTGTATGCGACAAAGACGTTGTTCACACTCCCAGCTAGAACCAGAATGTTTTCTAGGAGCTTTCAGCTAAAAAGACCTGCAGTGAGGAAGGCACAGTAGTTTCCATGGCCCGCAGGGAAGCTTCCTATTCAGTAACACTTGTGCTTGCATTTACCAGAACAAGGAAGCAACACTAAAGTCATGTTGAAAGCAGTCAGAGACTGACACCCATTCTTTATTAATACTACTGTAAGGCTGACTGAATGGACAGCAAAGGAGACAAAGAGACACAGGCAGACGCTGTCCTTGGAGACTGATGTGAGCCTTCCAGAAGAAAAACTTTGTTCTCTCTCAGATGCCTTAATCAAATCAGTTGGGAGCTTATGGAATCATTAGGAAAAAAAACTCATCACCACCACTTTGATTTACTTTGCAAAATGGTTTAAGTGGAATTTAGATTTTCTGTATGATTTTCTCTAACTGAAGACAATTTAGAGTGGAGATCAGGATGGGAGAACAGCTTTTCACTCTTGGAGATCTGCAGGATTTCCCTTTTAAATCCTCTTAGGTGGCTTCATAAATCTCCCCTACTCATTCACTTGAATCTTTATGGAAATATCACCAGGTCAACACTACTAATTGGCAGTATTTTTCCACATCCCAGCTGGGAATATCTTTCCACATCCCAAAATCATGTAGAAAAAGATTCTGTGGAACTTGTAGTCTCTGTTCATGAGGAATCCAAGGGCTAGGGGCATGAGTCCTGTTCTTGATGAAATTGCTAAGATATGAGGAGATTGTTGTAGGTGAAAAGAAAAAAGCACCAACGCTGAAGAAAGAAAAGAACCTGATTACTTGAATCTGACTGGTCTTTGCTATGCAGAGTAAAAGACAGGAATAGGGATCTGCACTGTGCAAGGGCAATTTGTGAGAGCTACTCATAAAAAGGACAGTAACATTCTGCCCTACTCATACCTGTTCCATGCCTGTGATTAAAGGCCTGGGCTGTCTCAAAAATCACTCATTGTCAATATGCATCCCAGACTTCAAGATCAGGCTGAAGTCCATTCTTAGCATGATCTAAAGGAATTCACACAAGTGCGAGAAATGAAAGGTCCTCCAAATTCTGCAGCTTACCAGAATATAAGGCGACCCTTCGAGGGGCAAGAAGCTACAACCCCCTTCTGCTGACACTGTGACTGCAGCCAATCTGTCACTGCCTCACTTTAAGACTGTTATAAAACAGTCTATGAGGCTGCAGAGGTGCCAGTTACTCCAGTCAGCAAGCTCCTTGGCTTCCCACCAGGTCGTTGGGCGCACAGCTCCCTCTTACCCTAGTTACTAATGGGTACTCAGATACCCATCAAGTCTTTTCCACAGACCAATGAAACCCAAAATTGAAATGCCTGTGGAGGGGTCAGTCCTATTTGCAGCACTCTGACTCACGGAGCAGAGAAGGTGAGGGCTGAAGCAGCCAGTCCAGCAGCAAATTTACAGTTTAGTGGGGTTTAAGCTGCACCTGTGGAGACGTTTTATGGATATATTTCAGTGGTGCTATTGCAAGGGTGTTGCTACAGCTGCACTGGAAGGGCTGCGGGCAGGGCAGAGCAAATCTGCACAGCCCTGTACAGGCATTTTTCCTCCCGTGAGAGCGGCCAAGCCACAAGCAGAGGCAGTGGCCACTCTGTGCAAGCAGCATTGCCCTCTGCTGGGGGCGTTTCAGCCCAGCCCGGGGGCTCCCCAGCCCCTTCCTCCAAACAAAGCTTGCCAAACTCCTCCTGAGCAAGGTGGCCTTCTCCGAGACGCAGGGCACCTATATGCTGCAGCTGGAAGGCAAACAAGAGCTGCCAACAGCATGCTAGTGCCAGGGCCCACTGCATAAGCAGCAACACCCAAGGATGCCATGGCCTAACAAAAGTGTTTCTTTAGCAAAGTTTTGCTGATGGATTCCAGCAGCGGAAAATTCAGCATGGCTATCTGAGCAAGCTCCACAAGCAGCTGAGGGCTGGGAGAAGGTATCATATACCTGTATGCAAGGCCTGCACTTTCTGCCTCGGGACCCATTCACTTCTATTTTCCACCTATTTATTCTGCTCATCACTCCAACACTTTAACAGCAACACGACTGAAAGGCTGTGATCCACTCGAGATGCAGCTGAAATTACAAAAATGGAGCTAACAACCTCTTGCACAAAATTAGTGTTTCACTCACTCTATACGTATATGATGATAGCTGAGCATTCAGCATCTTAGGTACATCCAGTTTCAGCTGACTTCATTCACAGTTCTCTCAACATATGCAATATCTATTTAGAGTAATTAGCACTGAAAGTTTACAAATCAGAATTAAAAAAACAACATAAAACCTAAGGGTTAGATGGAATCACTCCCTTCAGAAAAGTTCTACAAGCATTCATCATACAAAATTCACTGCTGGCGAACCCAGTTTCCAGTTGGTTGGAACACTGGCCCATCTGAGAAAAATAATTGCCCAGACAGCACTCGGTAACTCACGTGTATCGGTGACACAGAGATTCAATGCAGATCAACACTCGGACATTATCTCTGGCTCGGAGTTGGACTTTACTCTTCAACTCACTGTGGTCTGGAAAGGAAGGGAAGAAATATAAGCACTTTCTCAACATAGCAGACCACCAGCTGCTGGTGTTTGGCTTAACAGAGACACCAGTAACCTTGTGACTTGTTAGGAAAGCGCCCTTCTGGAACTAGATTATAAAATACTTCGTCACTGAACATTTAGAACTATTGAATGAATGCACTGGTGACAAAACACAGTCAAAACTGCCCTGATGCAGTTCTACATCATGAAGTTAATTTCTTCTAAAGTCTTTTATGGAAGCCGCAGCTTCCACACATGAATATATTTGGTCACTAAACTCATCTGCCATAAGGAGTGTTAATTTGTTTGGTTTGCATGGAGCAGCCTGCTGTGGCTATCGGTCTGTGACAGTACCCGGCTCAAAGGACAGGGTTTTGTGCCATGGTACCAAAGGGAGAGCTCACTGCAAAGGGCTGCCTTCTAATCTAACAGGACCCAGAGAGTTCTCCAGAACTCCCTCCTGCACCTTTCAAGCAGTACAGAAAAGGCTTCTGTGGACAACACTCACCAATGTGGACATTGGCTGAAAACTGGTAGATGCCAGACACAGGTGCTGTGAAACGTCCTGTTGCCAGATTTAATCCCGTCCCCCGGAGAAAAGCTCCTTTGGCCAGAGGCTGCAAGATAAGAAGAGCAGAGGCTGAACAAGTCCCCAGCACTCTCAACAATTACTTCTGCCCATGACAAGGAACAAGTTTACATGCATGAGCAGAAAGTTGAAAAAATTTGCAAGACTCCTGCCTTATCTCCCCAGAACACACCTTCCAGATGGGCGCTCTTGCAGCATTTGATGCCAGCAAAACGCAAAATGATCAGTATGAGACATGAAGATGCCCTTTTTGCTCACTGCCCAACTCTTCTAATTCGTCTTGACTCAGACTGTGTTCACTGCATCCCCATGCTCTGCCAGTCCTAGTGGTCTCTAGCCTCCACTGACATTCTGATATACAAACTTCCCATTATTTGGGTCAAGAGGTCCCTACTACTCCCAAAGATTTCCCAGATGGGGCCAAGCAGTGCCCCCAGGTTAAAAACTTGGAACCTTTTACACTGCTTTTGCGACACAAGCACAGAGGAAACACTCATATGGGTCTCCAGAGGTTTTCTACCCAATTCAGGTCTAAGTCAGATGGATTTGACACTGTCAAAGAACAAGTGCTTGGATTCTTACATATTCCATATTTAGTTTCATTTTGTTCTAGCCTTGGATTCTAGAGAACAGACAAAAATGTAGTAGAATAGCACGCAGCTTCTCCTCATGGCAAGGAAGCAGTCTTAAGTCAAACTTGCAGCGGATTATCTGACTCAGACTAAAATAAACTCTGTGAGAAATGTTTATTGTTAGTTTTGGCCTGCCCAATATGAATTTGGCTAGAGCTGGGGAGAAGCAGGAGTGGCTTCAATGGGCCAAGAAAGCACGTTAGTCAGACTCTGCTTCCACCGCAAGGGCATTCTGTGCAATGTGAACGCATTCCCATGCACGCTGTCCTGAGAGATTTGCCCCACATTGGTTTTATGGGACAGAAGAGCTGCTCAAATCAGACTCTGTAAAGGCACACAACATTGCTATTTCCCTGCATGCACAAATGCACAACCGAGCGATCTCAACAGCTCAACATTTGAATGTGCTTTCTAATACTAGATGGCAAAAGGGGCCTGAGACACGGCGAACAAATTTGTAGCAGTGCTGCCACAGGTGCTACTACACTAAAAAAAAAAAAGCAGTGGAACACCTTTGTTCAAGGACCAGAAGGGAGTTAATTGCCAGGTTTCACAGTGCAGGGTAGGAATAATTCATCTAGTTTTCTCTTTGAAAGAAAGTAAGGCTACAAATATTTGGGTCTGGTGGTGTTTGTTTAGAGAGTTACTACATGGTAGGAGTGAAATGACTAACCTGCCTTTATTCAGCAAATCCCAGGCAAGGCTCACAAAAGAGTAATTTCCAGTCCTTATTTACCAAGCTCTAGCTGTAGTCTTAAATTTTACAGAACTTTACTAGAAATATTTTATGTATGCATATGGTGGTGAAAATATATCCATGTGCAACAGCAGTGGCACAATTTTACATATGTAAAATGGGAAAACAGTAATAATGAACAGCAGAACAACTACATTTCATAGAATGATTTCCAATTCTCTGTATTTATCAACGTGCACTGATGTGTGCCTATGTGCACATACACGCACACAGAAGGAGCTGTGTTCTTCATGCATACACACATGGACAACAGAACAGCTACCCTAGCAGCCTATGGAAGAAGCTTGATTCCATTCTTATGCTATCACTACAGCATCACTTTTGGCAATGCTGTTTTTTATTTACTGCACTGAAAGAGCAGATCCAAGCCCTGTATGTGCAAAACTGTACTGCATAGTTAGTTCATTCCTTTCTTGTTACAGCTATTAGCAGAACCAGCAACATAATTCCAAAACCACTGGCTGAGCATGGAAGACAATATTAGGCACCAGTAAATTACCACTGATAAAACATTCCTGTTTCTTCATGCCTTCTGTGGCTTTGTTATTCTTTTGCTCATAGAAATAGACAATGCAGGGAGAGGTTCTCTGGGCAAAATATTCCATTAAACCCCATGCCAATTAGAACTCCCTGCTGCATTTGCTGCCTCACAGAGCATACTCGCCTAGCTGCTTCAAACACTGCAGGGATTTATATCTGAGAAGCTAACTACCTGCACACAGCTATTTCAGCAGGCAGACCAAAGGCAAACAAGTTAGCATCCAGCCATTCTGTACAAACCAAGGTCAGCTTCTCTTCCTCAGTTCATCTCCCTCACATACTCCATAGTTCACTTCCAGGTGGAAAACAGGAACCACGCACAGAGAATTTGAGATATGAGAAACACTGTGGAAAGCAACGCATTGACTTATCTGTCATTAAAACAAATGATAACCCAGCCTGCACAGCAACCACAACGCACAGGGGATGTGCCAATCTCCTGAAGCAGGAATAAAATTGAACTGCCAAAGGTAGACATCTAGCTTGACCTCAAGACACAAGAGACACCAGGACTTCTGGGATCTTGCACCACGAAAAGCACGTGGGCCACCTTAGCCTTAAATGATCTCATTCCAGCGACGTTCCCGGGCCCCAGATAAACCCCACTTCCATTGCCTGTCAGAGGCTGCACTTACTTCAGTTCTTGCTGTGTAAAGCACCTTTCTGAAAGCTTTTGCAAGAGGCAATCATTAGAAACCTCAAAGCATGAGATACAGGAGGAAGACATACAGGGAAGGGAGTACCACACATTTCATTCCAGATACTAAGGAAATTGTGAGACCAAGAGGAAGAGAGGGAGGGAATGTTCTTGGAGGAAATTTAGCATGGAAGGATGAGAAAATGATCGCATGCTCTCAATACTCAAGGTCAGAGTGACTTAGACACCATACTCAAGTGACAGAGTATAGAAGTAACAGGCCATTTCTCAGCACAGGTTCTTTCCACTATCTCAGAATGCTTTGGGTGAGGTCCAAATCCAGGAATCTGAGTCAATCCCTATCATCTCACTGAGAAGTATCAAAATGCTGGCTTCTTCACACTATTAAGCTGACAGAATGAAAGAAGGGGAATTCTCACTCTCTCCCCCCCTCGGATGGTTTAAAGACAATGTTTTCATCTTTGCAAGAGCATCCACTGTCTCCCTCCCTGCTAAATTCCCCTATATCAGAGCACAAGCTAAAACCAGACACTTCTTGTCCCAAAGCTGAAATGAAAGGCTGGCATCCAGAGGCCTGCCAGCCCTCCCACATCAGCTTCAGGGCCAGAAGCAATTAGAAAGAAGCTAGGCATACGGTAACAAGGCATGGGAAGCATCAGCCTACGCACTGATTGCTGAGATGTCTTTATTCACATTTTCCCTCCTAATTAATGAGGCAGCAGATCTCTCTAGCCCTGCCCACACTTCAAGTACAATCTTGCCTCTGTGCCAGCACCCACAGTGCTGTCAAACCAGGCTTCCACAAGTGTATCTGGGAAAGATCCAAGAAAGTACCCTACTTAGAACAGAACCACTGCCTCTAGTCCTGCAGCTGTGAGAAGTCCTAGCACTAAACTACTCCATAGGAAAGGATCTGCTGGACAGGATTCTTCAGAAATGGGACTCAGCACAGCCTGGAAGAAAGCTCAGCACCTTACTACATGGACACTGTTAGCAAACTCTGCTGATGGAAACTCATTTTCCCTGTTCATACTCTTCCAACTCCCATCACAAAAGCAACCATGTATCTGAAGGCCTTGTGCCATCAGACAGTCTTTGTGACTCGAAAGTCTAAAATAAGTATCCTCAACTACCAAGTAACTGTTTTTAGCTATTACTTTGCATATCATATACACTTCAAATTCAGATCCTATTTCCAGCTGGTTCAGAAATGGTTAATTGAAGTTTTAACATCAAATTCAACAGCTTGCTTGTAACCATGGTTATAATGCCCCATAGCATCCCATGATGGTGTGCTTGTCATTATAACATGACCATAATGAAATTATGCAGGTAACTTTTATTAGTCTTCTGTAAAACATTGCATAAAGAATTTGAGCATCAGGACTGGTCCATCTAACAAAATGATGACTCTTACTTTGGATCACAAATTTATAAGCAATGGTTTCTGTCTGCCTCTGACTTTGTTCTACATCTGAAGGTTACTCTGAAATCAAACAGGGTGTGCACTGAAAAAAAGAACAGATCCTTCAGACAAATGCCAAACATGGACATGTCTTTCTCCATCATTAACTGAAACAAAAAGACTGACTGTTGTTTGGACCTGTGAGACAGCACTCTCTTGCACAGACCTGTCAGAACTTCAGTAAGAACTGTAATGAGATTCAGTTGGGCTGCAAGAGAGGAATAAAGTCTGCCTCTTAGGTTTGTCAGGAAGGAGAGGACTCAAAGCTAAATGTCTATCTTACTGCAGTTGAGCTTCAGTGCCGAGATCACCATACAAGATTCTGCTTTTGTCAATCACAAAAAAAGTAGTGCTATATTCACGGCATCCAAGCCTGAGACAAGCTTCTAGCATTAGTCTGCCCTTCCAGGAAACACCTTTATCCACAAAGCCACCTAGCAGCTTTTCAGACTAGGGGAACTACAGCTGATCTACACAAATGGCTGTTGTGGAGTTGCACAGGTTCAGTCTGTAATCCCTTCTCACCGACTGGAAGTTCTGAAGTTCTACCAGCGTCTTCTTGTCTACAATGACTTGTCCTTTTAGCTTGCAATGGAATGCTTCCTCTACACGTCTGTGGGGTGAAACTTCCTCCAAGGAGAGCAGCAGTGGAGGCACCTGGCTAGGATGGGCTGAAACAGCCAGGGATGCTCGATGCTCAATGGCTTCTGAAAAGAAAATAAAAAGTATAGGAAAATAAAGGCTTAGTTCAAGAGCTTGGTCTATGAAGCCATTAGTTGTGCGACTAGACTTCTGTACTCCACACTTGAACTAAGCAGCACTGGGGAAACATCTTTTCAAACTTCTGATTGGCAGATAGGGCAATGCTTTAAGGTAAACATTTGCAAAGCCAGCTATTTGCCAAGGTGATTATCAAAAGATGATGATCACAAAAGCACAAAGCTCTTACAGCTTTACCTTTTAATATCTCCTTAAATTCCTGAAGAAGGACTTCCTGGGTGACTTCAGCACCAGGTGCTCCTGGAGGTCCCTGGGGGCCAGGAGGTCCTGGGGGCCCAACAAGGCCACGCTAAGGAAGTAACCAAAGAAAAACATGTGAACTAGAACCAGGCAATTGGACAGACAGACCAAAAATTGTCTCAGTCAGAGCCAGTTCTACAGGGCCATCAGCCACATGAGCAGCCCCCTCCACTATCAGTTCAACTATGGGCCTGATGCAGTAAATCTTAAACTGACTCTTCAGCCAGCTGTGAATTCCAACACTTGGAATTTACTCATGTCTTTATGTGGGAGGATAAACTTTGCTCAGGTAGACACTAACTGGTTCTTCAAGTACATATATATACAGTGTGAAGCATAACAGGCACAAGTCTAAGTCCACTGCTTCTGTATCTTCTCATATCGCCAAAGTAACAAACTAGCTTTTAAGCTTCTTATTCTGCCTGTTCGCTAACTAGAATAGCCATCTAGCCTCACTTTTCATTATTCACATATATTGCTCAGACATAACGATCACATACATGAATGTTTGATGTGACAGTAGAGCTCTCAAAAAATGAAACAGTTTATTCAAAACACCTGTAAATGTTAGCCACACACACATCAGATCTTTAAACTCGTAGTGCAAACATGAAACAGTGTTATCAATGCTATTTTGATGTATATTCTTCCCAGGGAGTTCCTGTTTCCTCAATGAAACTGCAATAAACTTGCATGGGAGCACGCCTGTCTATCAGCTGAGAAATAAAAGGAAATGATTAAAAGCATTCAAGATTGTCTAAGCAGCAGATTCAAAGTGCACACATGATCAAGCATCACTCAGCAGATGATCAGTAATTCATTAATTTAAAGTAAATGACTTGTCCACACCTTAATACATTCTTTGATATACCTGGACTTTATCCAGTAGAAGGAAAAAAAAGAAATGTTACTTTTATTTCTACTGAGCAGTTAAAAAAACCAAAAAAGCTCAGTCCAAGAAACAGCTGGTTTAAAGAAAAATGAACATTTACAGTGGAACTCACATACCTCATCTTACAAAGCATATAGCACTTACTGTCTCAAACTTCTCCAAAATACTTCTAGACATTAAACACAAAACCGAACATGCAGCACTCTGGGGTGGGTAGGCAAAAGCTGGAGCATACAAAACACCTTGCATATCAGCGGTAGGAAGGGAAGCCACGGTGCACATTTATTAGCTGATGGCAATCTAGCAATAACCTACTAATTTCTTGTCTTTCCCTTTGCATCTCTTTTTAGAGGTATTGCCATCATCTGGGCGGTGAACAAAGGAGATCCAGGTCCGCCGTGGATCTGTGATTCGAGGATCTGGAGATTCTAGGATCTAAAGAGAAACAAGAATAAAAACTGGTATCACCATATCTCTTTGGCCACTACGTGGATTCAAAGAATGCAAAGTTTCCATACCAGACTGTTGTCTGCTGCCTAAACCACATCTTTGGTCCAAACACGCCGCATTTGAGGGGACACTGAAGGTGGGATAAATGAGACTTTACACTTTTGTAACAAGCAATTCAGTCTGGATTATCCAGTACCACGTCACTTTTTGTCTTCATTTACAGGAGCATTACAAATGCAGGATGGTACTTCAATCCGAGTTGTGACAGAGCATACGAAAGACATCGGCCTTTCAAAGAGCCCCATGAGAGTGGGATTTTCTTCTTCATAGTTTACAGGCTAAGCCTGCCAGCAGAAATGTCCCCAAATCCAGAAGATGCTGCCCTTAAAACAGCAAAATTCCTTCCCATAAGTCAATATGCTATCACCTGCAGGGCCTCCCAGCTCCCCTGGCTTAAGAAATCAGTAAGAGCCAAGGGCTGGGAGCCAGTGTACCTCAGAGACCTTCCTCCAGCTGCTGAGACTCTCAGCCCTCTGACAGTCCTAATACGTGCCACGGAAAACATGCCCAGACACCAGAGATTGTTCACCACTGGCATCTGACATTTATCAGCTGGATCAATCAAGCAATACAGGGAGATTAAAATGTACAGAAAACCTTGAAATGCTCCATAGCTTTCAAATCACAGGCTGTAGAGTGACAAATGTGCACACAGAAAGAAAAAAACAACCAAAAACAATTCCCAACGAAAAACAAAGTCCATGTCTGATCACCGAAAAGATGTCCACTGGCAAATTTTACTACCTTGCCCATTCCTGTGTTCTGCAAGCATATCGTAGCCATAGAGAAATTATCCAGAGAAGCTTTGACATTACAGTGCCTAGTTCTGGATCCCTTCTAAACAAAGTCTGGACAGAAGAGAGGATGTGCATTTACGAATATGGGTCCGCTGCCTATTGGACTCCCTCGTTCCCATTACTCACCTCCCAGAGACAACCAGAAGTATGTGATCAAATAGCCATACCTGTTGTTCTTCTCCCAGGCTAGGAATGAAATTCTAAATTTAAATTTAAAAAAGGCACCAGAAATCATTGGTTACCAATTCCCTGCCATTCTCTTGTCAAGAGCAATTAACCGTTGACTACAGAGGTTCCAATCTGTTGCCACATCAGTCTCCCAAATGTCCACCGAGGATAAAAGTACAAGTCCTCCCAAAGTTTCATGAACCATCCTTAAGCGTTCAAAGCCATCAATGAAAAAGCCAGAGATGAAAAACTGTAATGAACACTTCAAATCTTTAAAACAAACAACCCACTGTATCTGTTTACCCAGTTGTAAGCTTTGGGAATTCATTCATGAAACCTGTTTTTTCTTCTCCTGGTGAGACAGAACAGGTACAGCTCAGAATTCCAGCAGGAAAGCAATACAAGGCAGTAGTGGGTTGAATTACATTTGAAATGATTCCTCGACCATTACAAGTTTAGGTAAATCAATATTGAACTATGACCACTCAGGAGGAAGAAAACAAGATGGGTGTGGAAAAAGCATAGAAGCAGTCAGCCAACAGTGCACTCTTCAGATCTAAAAGTGTTTGCCCCTGGGTAGTAAGCTCCTACTAGTCTGACAGCACTAGACAGTCCAGCCACAGCTCAGACACCATAGCTCTGCCCTCAGTAGCCTTAACAGTAATGGTGACCTTGCAAGGTGCTTCCAGCGCAGCCAAGTTAGCAAACACGTCTGCGTTTGCTCACTACCTGTCTCACTTGGCTCCCTAAAGCACTTGCCACTTCTCAGAGAACCATACTGAGTTTCAATAACATTTCTAGTACTGCTTATAAACATAGATTCCCTTTCATCAAACAGTCCACAGAAGCATGTAGAAAACAACCTTTAGAATGCAGGTAGAGCTGAGGGCCAAATAACTCCAACATATGTCACTAAGAGAAACAGGAACTGGAGAGAGGATTGCAAATTTTAGCAAGAAATATCAGGGCAAGCCCATCTTGAGGAGAAAAGACCACAGTCTGTGTGATCTGCTATGAAAAATCCATGCAGTGCAAGTTCTTTCAAAATTAAATCTTAGAAGTCTGCTGGAGTTCCAGCTTGAGGTTACAAGGAATGTCAGTGCTTCTAAACTGATGCAGAGCCTGGAAAGCGCTCTCTCTGGCATGCATCCAGGCACTTGGGTGTAGCATAAGGCACTTGTCCATAGATTTCTGAGCTTATGTGATCACAACTATTTATTTCAAACAGCTTGGGTCAACAGATGATTTACAAACCAGCAGACTACAAGCAGCTCCCTAGAAATCAGATGTGTTGTGAGCTAAGCAAGTGTATTCATTAAACAAACATCTCCAACTCTGAGAATACAACTCTATCTTCTCTATTCGGCAAATAATCTTAGGTGATTTACTGCTCAGAACACAACCCACCGAAATATCTGCTCCTATTGAATTGCTCTATTCAGGCAGTCCACTCACCCTCCCCTCCAGAGAGATGGCTGCAGAGTAGCTGATGTCTGTGCTTTAAGCCAAAGCAAGGATACCCCGAGATATTTTGCCATATCTTTCATGCATTCTACTGTAATTAATCAGAGCCAGAGTTATGGTTATGCATACTCCCCCGATGCTCAAATTTAGAATGTATTGCAAACAAGAGCAAGACAAACTATTCAAAACAATCTAGTTCATTATTTCTGTACCAAAATCAGTCTTGAACAGACTTTTTATATTTATAACCACATTTACAGGCAGCAGTAAATTCCATGTGTAGTCAAGGGGTTCTAGTGGGTTGTTTTAGCTAAATTATTTGCCTTTTTTACTTACCGCACCCAGGACTTCAATAGCTTTCTGAAATTCCATTGGAAAGTAATGTAAATGAAGCACCCCAGGAAATCCCAGGCATTGAGAGATTAGTCACCTCACTAGAACGTTATCATCTTCCCACAGATTGCTTGACCGCAGATTGTTGCAAAGTGTAAGCAAGCAGTCAAAGACAGGCTGAGAGGTCGTTTGGTGCAAACCTCTCCATCTATTGTAACATGTAAACATCAAATCCAGAGCCAAACGTTCATAAAGTTTGTAAAAGTCCTTAGAACAACACATGAGGTGCAGCTTATTTCTACAACAAACATGAAATATATTTATTAGAGTTTCATGAAGATGTAATGGTTTCTCATGGGAAAAGTGTTTGAGAGTTCTTTCCTCCCTCGCTTCATCTGAAAACAGATGGGTGCAGCATCACCACACACGAGGTCACACCTGCAGACGACTGCGTTTATGAGCATTTAAGTTCACAAAGCTCGTAAATGTAAAGCAGGTAAAAGCCTACCCATGCCTTGCCCAAAGGAAGCAGACATCTTTTTGTCCCAGTGACTGGGACTGACAGCTCTGTCACAAAACAGAAGGAAGCAACTTATTAATAGAAGTACCCAGCTCAGGCAGGATGAAGTATTCCCCCAGTGCTGTAATAGAAGCCAGCAAAAGAACAGCTGGGTTGCAAAGAAAAGGGAAAATAAAAATCAGTTCATCCTTCAAAAAGGGCTGGCTCATGTGGCAGGAACTCAGAAGTGCAGTCTCCAAAACACGGCAAACACAAGACCAGAGACTTAGGAACTGGGATGCAGCATTTGCTGCAGATATGGAAGAGACTATTCAAACATTCCTCATTTCCATCAGGCTGCAAGACAGGCATAAACTCCCCTCCACTGCAAAAATAAGGAGACAGGCCAGCTAGAAGCAGAAGCCAGCAATCATGGGCAGACTCTGGCCATTAACTGTGAAGACAAACAGATGTCCTCAGCCTTTCTGGAGCTCCAGCTGTGAAGAGACAGGCCAGAGCAGACATCTTGTCAGGGAGAAAAAAAGAAATCCAAATGGCACATCCCAAAAAAATAAATGAAAACTCCTGAAGTTTAAAAAAAATTTAAAATCCCATACCTCTCCAGTGCCTTGCTTAAATTACAAATCCTTCTAAAAGACAGTCATGGCACTCCCCAATTTCTCCAGCACAAGTATGATTGACAGTTAAAATGAATGTTCCATCCTTGTGGTATTATTATTTAATTACTATGGCATGCATGAGCAATCCCAGCAATAAGCATGCAAGTCTCTATTTTTCTTGGCAGCAGCAGCCTCCAGCAGCCAGGGAGACCTTGCAGCCAACTCAGGTATCAGTCAGGACTAAGAACAGCCTTGGAATCCCAGCAAAGGGGACGCAGCCCTCCTGGGGTGCTGTTTACAGAGCACAGCTAACCTGCAGGAGTCTGGAGGAATCCTCCTGTTAACTACAGTGAAATCAGGTTTATTCCTTAACATTTGAAACAATACCCCCAAAATCAACAGAAGCTTTACCAGCAATTTTTAATGAACTTTCAATCAGGTCTTTTAATATTACTTTGGAATCTGAATACAATGGCACCTATCACTTCAGAACCAGTTTATGACCCTGACAAGAAGTTAGCCCACTCTCTCCCTAACTTCCCTCACAATAAAAGACAAGTTGAGCTGTAATTTAGACTGCTGTACACAAGCAGAACCTGCGGTTCCTTCTGGCTCTAACTCCCAGAACAGCATGCGCTGCCCAGAGACACCCACAGCCTTTGGGCCAAGATTCAGCCAGCATGGAAGGAACTACTAGCAGAAATCTACAACCAAACAGCAGAGTTTGGATCCTGAGAAATTTCTGAACTGTATCTGAACTTTCCTGAAATTCAAGGATACCGCGATCCAGTCTGCATCTCTGCTAAAAACCAAAGTGGAATGGACAAAAGTAGTTTTGGAGTCTGGATGAATAGAAGAATAAAAGCCAGCACTAGCTGTGAGCAAGTCTGTATACCTAAAAGCATCTCAAAGTGTTCTCAAGCACACCTAAGCATTTCTCAGGGTGTGACAGGACGGGATGGAAAGAAAGCACAAAAAGGTTATCATTTTGTGAGAGGACAGCATCCTTTCCACCTGAAGTTAGTCAGAGATGTGTGTCCAGGAACACACACCTAACCATTCCATGTCCACAGTCTTTATGCCTGAAGCTACTGTCCTGCAAGTTTTGCTCAAACAGTTATGTATTTGTCCATCTGTGATGGAATTGTATTTAACAATTCTTTGCTTAATAGTTAAGCAGTTGCCAGACATAAAATGGACCTAAGCATTTCACTTAATCCACAAACTTCTATGTTGTTACACCTGATTTACACCAGCAAGAGTATTGTCAGCTTCATTATGAAATTAGGAGCAAATTATTTATTTCAGTAGTGTATTTTACTTGGAACAGATTAAAAAGTGACAGACCACTTTTTTTTTTTAGCATGAAAAATCCTATGTCAGCTGCTAATAACTTTCGGTTATACACACTCTTGGTTATTAATGAGATGTAAAACCAAGGTCCTGACCACTTGTGGTTCTGACAGATCTCTCAAGAATTTTCCCTAGAGCAGAAGTGTTAGGCTTGGTGTCTTAGCCAAATCTGAAATGGAATTCCTACCTAAATTCCCGCTATGTTTTGTGATTGAAAAATTATCCTTCACTCCTCTAAATGGCTATCTCAAAAAGCTTCTCCCATCCACTTAAACACAAACGGCTTTCACTGTCACACCATAGTGACTTTAACGAATCTAATGGAACTGTTCATGTGAGCAAGAGCTATTCTGGGTGAGAAAACATGATGTTTTGCTGTGTCAGCTGTACTGCAGTGTGAACCAGTGCCACCCCTGGATGTACCGGTCGAGTTCTGTCTCTAGGGACACCACAGAACAGCACCAGCAGAAGAGATGTAGCACAATGCATCTAGCACACAAACCCACATCTGACGTAGGACTACATCTACATACATTAGTAACGGGCTGTAGAAGTCTCACAAACAGCCCTGAGAAATGAGACCAAGCACTGAATTCTTTGAGATCCTGAGTCAGATGTATGAATCCAACACTATTTTACACGGGCCACAAGCAATTGCTGGGAAGCGTGTTATTTGTTGTAGCCCTTCTTGTTCATGGTGCGCCAGAGCAAGACTGATAACGATGACAGATACAAAACATAAAAGATAACATCATCTACTACAGATAGGTCACAGTCCACTCTCTCGCGTGGCTTTGACACTTGTCAGGCCCAAAAATATTTTTCTCAGTTACACATGCAATCACACACTTCAGGCTAAGACTGAAATTTCTTTACAGATGAGGACTGCAATCTGTGCAATGTCATTGAACAAACTGCTGCTTTTAACTGGAAGCAAATGGCCCCCAATAATTCAGAGAGATTTAAGTAATAAATCAGATAGACCTAGCCCTAGATATCTGACAGAGACAGAATGTTCACAAAGGAAATAAAATTTCAAGGATGCCTTGGCTACATAGTGAGTAACCAAAATTTAAAACATTACACTATTTCTTGCAGAAATTCCACTGAAGGTAAAATCTTGTTGACCTCAAATCATTCCTGAAATTTCACTGGTACGCTGAGTCAATTAATTTTCCCTGGGGCTAGGATGCTGCCTTTGAGTCACTTAGCTGAACTACCCCCTAAAGCAGCTCACAGAATACCTGGAGCTGCAAGGGACATCCACAGATTGTCTAGTTCAACACCCCCTGCTCTAAGCAGGTGAACTACAGCCGGTTACTCTGGACCATGCGCAGTCAGGTTTTGAGTGTCTCCAAGGATGGTGACTCCACAGCCTCTCTGTCCAGCCTTTTCCAGTGTTTAGCCATCATCTCAGTAAAGCAGCTTTTTTTCTTACATTGAAGTGGAACTTCCTGTATTTCAACTTGTACTCACTGCTTCTAGTCCTTGCACTGGGCACTAAGAGTCTGACTCCATCTTTATTCCCTCTACTCAGGTACCAAATGGTAACTCCTGATCAGTGTCAACCCTATATAACCACTGGACAATCTACTACAGCTGAACCCCTGTAATGTAACATCACACCTTGCAAGACAAGATCTATGCCTGGAAAGGGGAAGGCAAGCCTGGCAAGTGGCAGCTGCAGGTACTCAGCCACACACAAAGTAAGAAGGTCCAGTAGATTAAAACCTCTGTATCCATCAATCATGTTCTGCGCTCTCTCTCTTAGTCCATCTGTGTCAGAGGAGAAAACTCCTGCTTTCTTGCTTGGCAAGTACATCACATTGACAGCAACTCAAAGAGAAGATTGGAGAAAAAGTGGAAAAAAAAAAAACCCCACAAAACAACAAAAACCAATCCCAACACACTTGCTATTTCCTTGGAAATATCAGTTTTTGTGAGGAGATTTGAGACTCGTACTTCGCTGTTTTAGGTAGAGGTTTCACCACATGACTCATGCACTGTGAATGTTAAAGGGGAGTTTTCTCCACTCCTATTTGAAAAGAATCCCCAAGAGAAATTTGTCCCAAATTGTTTTGCTTAATTAGAATGAAAACACATCTACCTTTTCAACAGTATGACTAAAAATCACTACTCTCAGCTACTACTCCATTCCCTGCTCCTTCTGCTTTGATAAACCTACCAGCTGGCCACAGAGCCTTCCAAGGTAAACACAGCCTTAATTTTTACTGTACAAGGCCAAAGAAAATTCCAACTTTCCTATTATGTGCTGTAGAGCAATGAAATGGGACACTGCTGTTGTTTCACTTTCCTGTGCAGGGCATCCTTTCATGAAACAAAACTGGTCACAGAAGTACCTTCAAAGTTCAGAGAGATCAGTCTTCCACAGAGAACTGCCTTCAACCTTCCTTTAGCTTGACAGGTTAGGTAAGGACAGCTTTACTATTACTTCACTTCTTCTGTTAGTGAACACAAATTGTGATGCTTTGCTGTGAATGGCACCTGTCATTTACCCCAGAAATGGCGGCAATTCTTAAACTCTGCATTTATAGTATGTGTAAAATAATCCCTTAGCTTAGGCAGGTGCTATATAAACAAAAAAGGCAATACAGTCACCCATGACATTTAGAAGCAATACTTAACTAGAGCCTGCACTTCAACTTCAAATAGATTCCAAGGAGAAAATCTCACATTGCAAAACTTGGGAGTGGGTATCAAGCAGAGCTCATCAGCATTTGCATCAAAGATTTGGTTTCATCCTGTCCTTGTTTAACAGAACCTGCCTTTCACTGAACTCGCCAGCTCTTACTGCAGCCAAACCTTTGCCATGGATATTCTAAAGCAAAGTATTTCAACACAGAAGCTGCAGCTTCCGAACAATGTCTGTTCTAATGAATGCCCACTAGCCTCCGAACGATTACTGTGTTTCTTCTAGCAGTTACGTATGTATGACTATATCAGAATTAACCAGGACCAGTTTCTGCTTGCTTTTGCAAACAGAATATATTCTGCTTGAGGTCCAATAAATTTCACATCAAGCCAAATTAATTCCAGAACAGACTGAAATTTAGTTGCACCAGATATGTATCTGGCCCCTTTTGCAAAAGCAGCATGAAGCAGTTCTAGAGAGAGCAGAAGCGATTGATTATAAACACCTCAAGAATTTAGCATGTATACAACCTGTCCTGACAGAGCCCTGCAATACACAACAACAAATTAGCTTAAAAAATGCTGCTTACAGTCCCCTAACGATAATTTTAAGTGCAGCAGCCAGCTTTTTTATATAGAGGACTGTTTCCCAGACTTGCCCAACCTTAACCAATTACTCTCACAATAGCATTGAACAGGACATTTAGAATGTCAGCCCAATTGTTCTAACTTGCCCCCTCTGCCATGCCCCAATTTTTGACAGGTTTGTTCCTCTATTGCTATAGTGACTGCCATCCCTAATGCTTGTGATCAAAGTCATGTTTTAGAGGTCACCTCCATTTGAGACAAGGGACATTTTTGTGTGAGCGGGGGGAGAGAGAGAAAGAAGGGGCTGTGTGATAAGGGAGACTCCCTCCTTTCTCAGTGTTGCAGTCTCCCTTCCATTTCACCCTGCTCCTAGTCCTAGGACCTGCTTTTAACTCCCTCTCTCCTACTCCCAAGCATTCTATGCAATTTTTCATCTTAAAAGGATTCTAGGGGCTACGGATCAATTGACTGGAATTTTTTTGCAGCTTTCAGCCTGGGGTGATTGTCCCAAACACATAACTAGAAGGAGCCTACCCTGCAAAATTCACTCCCTAAGCCTAGCAAGTCATCAGCTACAGGCACTGAGGTATCAGACACACAGTCTTACACTTGCCACTTACGCACAATTACCACCATCCTGACTCCTTCCCTACAAGAGCCACAATCACCTTAAACAGATCACCTGACTCCACCAAAATTTTTCTCATCTGTAATTTTCAATCACCACAGCCTCTCTGGTGGAAGATGCAGTGCAGAGAAAGCTCAGGCATGCTCAGGTGTTCATACCATGCCTAAGACAGTTTTGAAATAACATTCCAGAAAGTAAAGGGTTTGCCTGCAAGAGATATATTAATCTTCTGGTATAATTATTTTACTGCGATAGCCCACTTGCCTTTTTTTAATCAGTTGTTTCTGAACAGGATAGTGTTCAAACACTAGAACTCCAAAATCTCTTTACACTTAATCAGCTACTGTGGGACTGGAACTTCAGTCACACGTATTCTAAAGTAAATTATAGTAAGAAATTGCAGTATTCCAGTGTTTGCTTCAGTAACCTAGAAAATCAATCATGCAAAGGCAAAAGAGAGAACATTTCTCTTTAAAGTCAAACAGAATTTGGCAAGATTGTCTCAACCCCTGGAAAAGGGAACCAGCATCACATCACTGCCAAAAATAAGATCTACCAAGCACCCACAACACATAAACACCTACCTTAGGATGCCCGTGCAGTTCTTCACTGTTTGAGAGGGTAGCATTGAAAGGCTCTGTATACTGATTCGGTTCTTTCTTCATCTTTCTCTCTCTCTTTGCTGCCATAACTCTGAAGAGGCAAAACTGCTGACAAAGTACAGTTGCCACAAATACCCAGGTGCACCCCTTCATTTTGAAAAGGGAGGGGCCAAGTCAGGAAAGGCACTCTCCAAGCACAAAAACCTTCACCACCAATAATAGCAATAGCCACAGACTTCTCTCTAAAAAAATAAAAATTAAAAAGGTTAGAACTGTTAAAGATGATCCTCTGGGCTATGCAACGTCAAATGAGCAGCCTGCACGGATGCACTGGTTGCTGAAGAGATCGCTGTTCAAGCAGGACACATGGAAATGGTATAGATAAACTTGTTTGAAAATCTGGATTCACTCGAAGAAAGAGGTAAGTCCATTCAGCCTCTTGAAGCTTACATAAATACAAGAGGCCCTGGAAAGTCCTGCCACCCACCTTGAAGTGTCACTCCCCCCCCCTTCCAATAAGTCTTCAGACTCGTTTAAAATGCACTCAACTACGAAACCTGGAGAAGTCAAATTGCTCAGTGCAACAGTTGCTCAGGCTGGAGCTGACAACACAAACTCATTAAGGGGGTTTGCTAGGTTGTTCTTCAACAGGAGATTTCACCTTCTGCCATTTGAAGCATTGTGTTCAGTTTACAGCAGGCTTGAAGACGTCCCATCCATTCTCTCTTGAACGATACTTCCCCTCCCTCAGTGACAAGTCCTCATCCTTGTGAGATGCTGGAGAACTGTAACCCAAGGTTGCTATAGCCACTGCTCTTCTGCAGAGGCTGAAAGCATCACAGCTCAGCCAAGTGCTCAGCCTTCTAAGGAGAAAATAAATTTCTCATATCGTAAAAGTTAAAACAGGGAGAAGCAAAGAATCTGAGGATGTACCTAGGTCCATTAGGTGCAGATAGTTTTCCCAAGTCTCGCTCCTCTTCCGCTTTAGCTGGGTTTATCTTCTTTAAGGAGTCGATGAGTAGTAAATCTCGATGCTGCAAGCAGCTGTCAGGATGCAGAATCTCATGTCTTTTTCATCCTCATCTCCTCTCACACTAGGCAAGATTTCAGGTACCTCCGAGTATAGATCATGTCTGATTTTTCTCACTTCTTTCCTCCGCTGCACGCTGGCAAAACCCTCCTCAGCTTTTGCTTTACCTCAGCAAATAAGTACTTCTTTCCTGAATGAGTTTCCATCAACTTCAAGAAAGGGGAAAAAAAAAAGAAAAAAGGGGGAGGGATCACATTCTAATGAGCTGTCAAGCCTATTCTCTTCACATTCCTATTAGACTCACTGATAAGTGGAGCTGGCCCATGTGCCAGGCAGATTTAAATCAATGCCCTTTCCCTGCTCCCTCCCCTCATCCCTGTTCTGCACCTCCCCTTCATTATCTCAGAGAAATCACCATTTTTCTGGGAAGTTTGTAAAACTGTACATGAGTGTGTGGTAGAGCTAAAAATATGTGGCTTGGAATATGCACTCAGCATCGCACCACACACTGATACATCAGAACTCTTGCTTTATACTCTGGTTAGCTGTGTTCCATACAACATTTTCCCCTGGCTCTCATCAGGGACTGGTGCAGTGGGGGCTTTCTGATTTCTTTGCAGGATGGTGGGCTGTTTATTAAAAATAATGGAAAACCAAAGGTTACACATCTCCTACAAGAATTTTGTAAGGAAGATCCTGAAGTACTTGAACAGCCTGCAAATCTTTGCCAGTTCCCCACCACCTAGGACAAATATTCCTATTATTTCTATAAATACAGAGAGTGATGCAAAAAATTATCTGAGATTGTACCATAAGAAAGTCCAAGAATGATAAAAGGTTGAAGATCACAATTGAAGTCCCTTCTGTAGTCAGCAAGCAACAGACTTGCTTTAACAATCCCTTTACCACACTTTCTGTAATCCAAATAATAATGCCAGCTCTATTATCGATGGCTCAGGGAAACTGAGGCATGAACAATCTGAGTGCAAAATCAACAAGTAGAATACAGTGGGTTTTTTTTTTTTTAAAAGCATCTTTTGAGAGAAATGGAGTTTGGGAAAGAAGAGAGTAAGAAGGGAAGTTACACAGAAGCTAAATAGTTAACAGCGTATCACCCCTCCCCCCAACTAGCTCACATTCCATCAAAACTACGTGGCAGGCTTTATTTGTTAATAATATTTAACTTTCTTTGGCGCCTTCTCATACTTGAGCCTCTTTTTTCAGGTTAGTTGTAGACAAGCCATGAATTTGTAAAAGTGCACTTGATGACACATTAATAGGACAATCTGTCATATTGCAGCTAAACAGCTTGACAGATCCACACACCACGGCAAGAAATGACATTCAAGGCTGGAATGGGGCAATCGCTTTTTTCATCTGCTGGTGCAGGCAGCATCTGTCTGCCTGCAACATCTCCTTTCCCATCCCAAGAGTCAAATCCCAAGTGTATATCCTTGGATTTGGGGGAAATTAATCCTAACTACGTTTGCCATCACAAGGCAGTTACCTGATGGTCCAGTAGCACAAACAGTCTGTATACTTTTCTTCATGTTGGGCTGAAACAAGTGTCAGCACAGTTGTTGCCTCTCCTCCAACCTTCAATTCAGCATTTGTATTATCTGTAGAAAACTGCACACCTTGCTGCTGCTGTTCTCCCATCCTAGTTGCAGCAGTTCCAAAGCACCTGAGTCTTGTCAAGGCACGAACAACATTCAACAACCATTTGCAAAAAAAATAGGAACAGGTCGATGTTGCACTTCATAGCACCGCAAACCAAGGACCTCAAAGTGACCCAACAGGCAAATAGTTTCTTCTCTGAGCTCAGCACCATTGCAGCAATAACGGGAATAGTTAAGAATGTAACAATACCAATTCTGCACGAGGAAAGTTTTGAAATAGTGAAGATACTACAAGAAGCCACATTTACATTTCAGAACTGCATGCAAGAACCCAAATACCGTGTTTGCAAACACTGCAAGAAGCGTGTGTAAAGCTGGAGAGGAAACTGAATAGTCAGGCCAGAAACTTGTGATTTGATCTTTCAATCTCCACTTGTGCAATCTGCCTTTTACTCAAGATAGACCTTACCTAACTATGCTAAGAAAAATATCCAAAGGTCAAAAGCTAGGATTTTCCCCAGAGTTCCCCACTGCAGACATACTGAACAACTCCTAAGCCTTGGTGCACAGCTAGGGATTTTTTTAAGCCAATACAGAAGGCAGCACATTCACTGACACACACACAGACCCCACTGCTTCACAGCAGATGAAGGTCTAGCGTACTCCTATCATAGACTGCCTGGGTTTAAATCTAAAATTTCCCAATGCTAGCACGATACCACTGGATCAGCTGATTGGATTAATATACCAAAGCTGTCAGAACAAGCCTAAACACACCGCCAGACAAGCGAGCAGCTTTGGGAAGGCAGACCAAGAGCTCAGGCTGGGGAGCCCCTCTCCACACCCCCGGCCCACGCGGGATCGCGACGCCATCTCGTGGCAAACCCCCGGGAACACCGAGGCGCTCGGAACGCGGGGAAACACTCGTGGCAACCCTCGGGAGCGAGCCAGGTGTGAAAGAACGGTGCTGGGGCAAAGCCTTCACCGCTAACAACAGGTTCCCAGCAAACCCCACCGAGACACCCTCCTTGGCTGCCCAGAAAGGTCTTGTCAATACCAGGAGATGGGAACGCTCCGAGCTCGTGTTCAACAGCCTCCCTTCTGCGCACAGGCGATTTTGCCACTGAAAACATTTTTTCTGCTTGAAAAAGCAAGATCTGGCCTTTGCTAGGCAGCGAAAAAAAGTATCATCTTGCACACTATTTTTCTTCCTATGATTGAGTTGCAATATAAGCTACTAATTATTAGCAAAAATTATTCAGAGACATCCAAGAAACACCTTATGAAGCACAGGGCTTAAGGTAATGCCTTACAAATTATGAGCTTGCTCTTCTGAAAAGAAAGCTTGTCCCTTGCTGACTGCTTACACATTTAAGGCAAGCTGAGGAATCCATGAGATGGGCAAGAAGCATCTCATTTCTTTGGCCTTCTGTGTATATGAGTTTCCCATTTAATACTTGGCTACATAGACATTACCAACACCCATGCTCAGTCTGACACCCAAGTACCTGTGCAAACGCAACAGGAGGGGCTTTTCCTACTGAATTTGTCTACAGGAATCCTGTATGACTACGAGGATCGAAAACACAGCAACAGGCTACCCTCATCCGACGAGTTCCTTACTAACATCAGCACTACATAAACCTGAAGCAGGGCAACTGACAAAATGAAAAGCACTGTCTGAACGATGGAGCACAGAAGAACTCCAGGCACAAGAACAGTTCCAAGAAAAAAAGGCGGAAATAAAAGCATTATTAAGGAAAATGCATCATTTCATAAAACTAATTAGGACACAGCCCAGTCCTGGCAGCTGTTGGTCAAGCAAAATACCAAACTCATTTCCATCAAGTTATAGACATTGCTGTTAGAAACAACTATGCTTTGGATCAACACACAGAACTGGAATGCCAGCCCAAAATCAAATCCCAGAAGTCAAAAGTGCAAACAGCGTCTGGGTAACATTCACTGCTTTACCCAGAACTGAAGCTGTCTAGATAGCACAGAGCTAGCTATCCAGATGCTAACGGAACAGCAGCAGAACGAAGCCAAACCGCACTCAAACAGCAACTGCTGAGTTAGTAGAAAGGTTCCAATCTACTTTTTTCTTCGGAGACATTATCACTGCTGGCAAAACCAGTGGAACAGCATCTTAGAGCGGCTCCTGCATGTCTCAGAGTAGGTACCGATGCACTACAATGACAGCTGTGACTTACGTCATTACAGAACAAATACCCGTCTGTCAACAAACTGCATTATCAAACAAAAGACAGATGTAAGGGATACCAAACTAACTTGAGAAAAAAAAAATATTAATCTGGAGGTGGGAGAGATGCAGTTTCACCATAGTTTTTGCTTTCTAGTCCGTATATATCCAGTTAGATTTATTCCCAGTGATTCCTTTCCCAAAAACAGTCCCACAGAAAGTATAAATTTTACCATGAATGTTTATTATGAACAAACAACTTTACAATGCAGTCATTTCTACTCCTCAGTACATGCTTGAA